AATTCATTTCTAATGCTTCAAGCTTCTTCATCCTTCTAATGACAAGTCAAATTCATCAATGGAACTTCAAAAACCTTTTTATATCAAAAATTCATTTCTAAATCCTTAATAAAATCTCCTTTCTAATTCTCTCTTATTGATGTTTTAAGATTATATAAGCTTTCCTTAAGCTTATATAACAACCAAAGACTCAAAACCAACTTAGAAATTCAAGAAATAAACAATTGAAATCAAACTTACCTTTGTAGCTAGAGCAAACGGGAGGAATAAGGAAGTAAGAAGCAAGAAGAAAGGTTATGGATAAATCCCCCCTTTCACGTGTTTATCTCCTATTAAATGGGATAAAATACCTTTTAAGTTGAAATTACCCTAATGCTCTTCACTCCTTCCATAATTATTATTTAATCCCATACTAATATATTCATACTTAAGTTCTTGAACTTTTAAATTTTCTTAAATGGGTTACAAAATTTCAAAAACTTATATTTCAGTCACTAGTCCAATTTTTTGGGTGTTACACTTCGTCCTTGAAAACTATTCCCCTCAAGTGCTCTATGAACTATCTTAGTTGATGGCCTGGGATGTTAGAGTCATCTGTCACTCCTTTATGATTAATGGTAGAATGATCGTAGGCAAGGTTTTGTAACTACATTGCTGCTCGAATCAAGTAGTCACCTCTCGAATCTTGGGTGTTGTTCTATCAGTCAGTTTTGATGCATGATCTTCAAACGAGTTTTCTTCTTGTTCTCTCCTAACTTCTTTTAGCCATTCGTGAATGTCTGTGTATGCGACTACTTGTTTGAAAACTTTTTTCTCTATTTATGAAAAAAATTCAATTAGATAGTCATCTACGTATCAACACCTTCATGTTATGCTATGATGATAGTACAATACCAAAAGGAGAAAATGACACAAAAATGAGAAAAAAAATTGAGTTAGTACAGGTAGATAATCGATAAAGATAAAAGTGCTATTAAAAGATTAATATAATCATTTTCAATAAGAAAAAGAAAAAAACAAAAAACATGAATATAACATCTCCCCCATTATGGTATCTACTCAAATATGCTTTTATCAAAATAGAAATCCTACCCAGACATGCTTTCTATCCGACATGATTTATTTCAAGAAATAAATCCTAACCGCATGGTATCTAGTTCGCATGCTTTGAAAAGAAATTTATTCTATGAATTTAAAGAAAAGGTAAAGGTTCAAAGTCGTTCCTCCTTTGTTTACACTTATTTCTATACCTATTGGCGGTTAGAGGTTCGGCATGGCTCTACCTAGGGTGGCCAGTCTAGGGTTCACTAAATGAATGGTTTCGGCTCTACTGTGAAAAGGTACTCGAATTATCCTTCTTGTTGGTTCCCCCTTGGGCTACCAAACCCTCAATCCTCATCTATTATATACTTAAACAGGTCGAGTTTAATTTGAGGGAGTACATGCCTCATGTTTAACACTAAGAGATGCTCATGAAGATCATAGGGGCATGTACTTCGGGAGTCATTCACTAGCCTGTATGGATGGTTACTCACGAAGGGAACTAGCTATTCACTCCCACTTAATGGGACATGGCTCGGGTATAGAGCTTATGACATGTAAATACATGTGAAGTGAGAGGAAGAACTCACAAAACTTTTACCAAAAAATAAAAATAAAGACTCGTTTTTGAAAATCTTAACAAGCCTGAAAACATTAAGTGTAAAATGATGCAAGATTAAAATGTCAGTACAACTATTTAAAAGAGTAAAAAAATGCAAGATTAATGGAAAAATTAAAAATAAAATGATTGTAAATTAAATAGAGGTTCAAATTTGCAAAATTCCAACTACTTAGGAAACATATAATCGAACAGGCTTGACTCTCAAAATTGTACCCAGCGGAGTCGACAAGCTGTCATAACGTTTTTAATACGACAAATCTAATTTAAAACAATTATGACTTTATTTTGAGAAAATTGGGGATTTTGTTTAATTTGAAATTTGGAGTCGCCATCGACCTTTGGGTTAGGTAGGTCGAATACCTTACAAACGTCTTTTAAAACAATTTTAAGAAAAATCATTTTTAAGACATAAATTGGTCTGCATTTAACAAAGATTCATTGTAAAGGGAGTCGGTTACGCGCGAGGAAGGATAAACACCCCCACAACGTCCAAAATTGGTACCCTCGATTATATGTTGTCTAAATAGTGGAATTTTACATATTTGAATCCAAGTTTTAAATTACGATCATTTTATTTCGATGAATGAATTTTGAAAAGATTGAACTTCTTTGTAAAACATTTGACTCTAAAACAAATTTAATTCACTCGATTTTATTTGAAAATGATGTCCCTTCACTTCAGGAATGAATAGAAATTGTTATCCAATCATGTTGGATACGATTTCATTAACTCTTGATATAAAGCAACATTGGCTTTGAATATTTTTTAAAAACAAGAAAACAAATGGATGATTTATAAATGCAGTAGTAAGAAATGACATATACAAAATGAATAAAATATCCACATAATATGAAAAATAAATATATTACTTAAAATAATGAAATACTAAAATAAATAAAATATTAAACTAATATTGTTATAAAAATATGAAAATGTTTAAAAATAACAGATTTATTTAAAGTGAATATGATATATCTAATCGACTTAATATATCACAAAGTATAAATAAATAATAAATAATATTAAAAATCATTTTTATTCGAATAACCCTCATAAGGGTACCCAGGTTTTTGGAGGTCTTCCATAGATTAGTCGAACAACCAATGATTTTAAATATTAAAATATTAAACAGACACTTATATTTAAAATATTATACATAAATAATAAATTAAAGAAATACTACCTTAAATAATATATATACATATTTTCCAAATACACGTACAAAACAAATATTTAATATAAAAATATGATACTATAATATATATATATATGTAAGTATATAATGTACATAACTAAACAACAATGGTAAAAACATACACAATAATATACACAAATTACCACATTGTATTTAATAAAATAAATGCATACGCGAATAATGATATGGGGACTAAATTGAAACAAGAAAGTTTACAGGATGCTATTGGTGTTTTTAGCCTTTATATTTCATGAAATAATTACACATAAATGATGGTCGAAATGCATATGAAACAAAGCCAGAAGGACATGAAGCATAAATATAGCAACTTTGAACATATAAATACAAAAGGACAAAAATGAAATAACCACAAATTAACAACGAAAATTAGCAATTAAACCATAAATCAACAATAAATAAATAAGGACCAAAATGTAATCGTTATAAAAATCAAAATTCAAACTATGACAAATGAAAGCTTGCATTTCAGGACTAAAATGAAACGTTACAAAAAGCAGAGGGTTGAAACTAGGATTAACCCATGCGTTGAATTTAGGAAACCCTAATTCCTAAGCCGTTATACGATCACATAAATACCCTATTATAATTTTTAGCTAACCCTAGCCCTATTTTTTCTCCCTTCATTGAATTGTTCTCACTCTCTTCCCTTCTCTCATTTTTTATTTCTCTCTTTGTTTCTCTTCAGTTCACAAGCGGCCACCACTATCGGCGCCTTCAAAGGTAGTTCTCGATGGCCAATACTCACAACAATATTCCACAATAGGCCTTCTCAACCTCCTACAACCAAAAAGAGCCTAATCCCTCCTTAGAACCCAATAGACGCTTAGATCCAAAGAGTTACCTTCAGGTAGCTTTGATGTTGGTGACCCCGACGATGAAAGGTAAACTTTTTATTCCTTTCCTTCTTCCCTTTTTCGAACTGTTTTTTTATATTTGTTTGAATCCTTTTTTTCTTCGTATTCTCTCTTGATCTCCTCCCTTTTCGAAGCTCTCTGTTCTTTTTTATGTTTTTTCGAACTGGTTACCCATCCTTTATTCTTTCTTTCTAGGTTTTATAATATGTAAAGCCTTCTTAGAGACTTCAGTCACATCCATTAGCCACTTGCTCTGACCGGGCGTAATTCTTTAAATGGATACCATAATTTACATGTCTTTTTTCTGATTTTCATTCGAATCGAGGATGGGTTCTAACAGTGACAGTGGTGGTGGCGGTTTAACTTGTCTAGGGTTCTAGAAACCCTTCTCATATGGACCGTTGGATTAAGCACAGATCCAACGGCTACTAGCATGCAATGGTTGCGGATTGCTTAGGTGAAAATCTTAGCAACTTGGTTTCATCATGTGTGGGCTTAGGGTTTCCAAAGGTTGGGCCCATTGTATTTTGAATCTGATTTGGCTTGCTGTTTGGGAAAATGTTAGGTCATTTTGTAAAAGGGCATGTGCCTGCAAAAAATAAAGTAAAATAATAATAAAATAACAATAATATAATAATAATAAAATGTAAAAAACAGTTACGACCCGGACAAAAATAAGTGTATATACCCTCTAAGGGTGAAGCTTGAGACATGTTTAGAATTCAGTATGATACTGATTTTGGCTTTTGTTTTGTGTTAGGTTTTTACTTCAATAAAATTATTTTCTTCTTCATTTTTTCTCTTTTCCACACGCCAAGTATGAACTCTATCAGACTTGGCTAAACATTTTTTTAACCGATAGCTGAGCTATGACTCGATCCGATCTCATGAAAATTGTAAAAACGCTTCATATCTTCATATTCATTCTTGATTTTCGGCAGACAAGAAGAGGCAATTGACCTTTTCTTTAAACATCTCAATACCTTCAATCCAAAGAGAGCACATTGGCTTGATCGACATTGTGATCTAAAATTGGGGAGAAGAGTCGGCTCATAGCAAATTCAATTCCCTAAGAACAAACTTTGTAGTGGTCTGTTAAGGGAAATCAAGATCACGTTCGATTCTCATTGAGACACCATAATCCGAGCACAGACTTTTCCCGTATTAAAACTAGTGTTAGCATTAACATCGATAGCTGATGTTAATCCAAATAAGGGCTAAATTCCAATGATTGACTTTGGAAAATTAGTTCACCGGATAAAAGAGCAAGTTACAAGGGTTGAGCCTTGTAGACTGTAACCGGCAAGTATTCAAAGTAAAACCTATTTCAGTGATCGAGACGAATTAAGGAACAACGAAGCTGAATGCTATCTCTCATCTTAATTATTCTCTACAACTTATTTTTCTTACTTTTATTTCCTTCACTTTAGTTTTATTTTATTTATTTAGTTACTTGATTATTCAAAACGCTCCCTTTTTTAATTCTTTTGTTTTACAAGTTTCTTGGTTAGCATCAAATCAAATCTAAATTAGAAATTTTCGAATTCCTGTAGACCAACCATTCTTTCCTATTCTGCGTTTATAGCTTACTTATATGAGAAAAAGGGCTTATTTATTTGACAATTATGACCCTCGTCACTAGTAAACTTAGCAAATCGGGGGTGGATATTATGGTTTCTTGTACTTGTGTGTTATGCCATAAAGAGCATGAGACTATTAATCATTTGTTTTTTCATTGCAAGATAGTTTGGAGGATTTGACAAAGATGGTGTTTGCTTTAGAATCATAATTTTGTTTGTCCATGTAATACAAAAGCTTTCCTATTTGTCTGGGTTGGGCTCTTAAGTTTCAATTCATGTAAGTCTGTATGAAATTTGGCTTATTTCGGAATTATTTGGCATTGTTGAAATGATGCCTTATTTAATAATAAAAGATGTAGAGGAGACCAAATTTTTGAACTGGCACTATCGATATTTAGTTTTTGGAGAAAAAGCTTGTGACCCGTATCATATCCCTCGATACTTGATTTGTGAGACGCCCTTGCATATTTGCCTTGTATGTTAGCTGATTCGAAGCATGTGTCATTTCGCTTGTCGAATGCTCCTCATTAAACTAAATTTTTCGAGCAGATGTTGGGTTGTATAAAATGTTGCAGGCTTGCTTTCCGTAAGAGTTGTAGATGGAACCATACTTCTTGTTAGTCTGGGATCCGCTGTGTTTTGAGTTTATTGGCTATATTTTGGTTCTCATTTTTATGATGAGTGTCCTGGCGGTGTGGTAGATGACTGTTTGTGTGTATGGTTCTTGCTTTGTGTAATGGTCGATTACATCTTTAACATCAACATAGTGTACTCTTTTTTCTGTATTAGGTGTATGAGATTTTTAATAAGACTCATATATGCGTCTTGTTTTACATGTGATTTTAATTAATAACATATAAAATTTTCTCCCTCTAAAAAATTAAAAATATTATTCTTACGTGCAAGATATTTCAGTCTAACTCCTTGATTTACGCCAGCTTAACTTTGCTGATTCCAATTAAAAACGAATATGGGTTCACATGGTTGATCAAGGAACAAACAAAGGTGGCATCCCATGAAGGTGAACAAGTGTCTTGAGGGTAATGACGTCGCACATGAGTTCACATAAACTTTCGATAAAATTTCGTCTCAATTAATGATGGAAAACATCCTGATTAAATATAGATAAAAATATGATTTTATAATTGAAGTGAATTTAAAAAATTTGAATGGATATAAATTTATAAAAAGAAAAAAAATTGTTGTCCTTTCGGTTATTAAGATTTTACCTTGATTAATTTGGACCGGCCCGGATCGTACACTTAGCTTTAGTGAGTGAGTCTCCCAGCAGGAATTTTATACATACACAAAGACTCGAACTCGAAACTTGCTTAAACGATATTAAGTTGCTTACCACTTAAAATAATCTCGTTGGTTAAACTTACAGAATTTTAAAGAATGAAAATAATTTTTTAATTAAAAATATATTTAAGATATATAATATTAAATTGTGTTTTAAGAAAATGACTCATCTATCCATGAGATCAAGGACGTGTGATCTGTGATCCGCCAGCAAAACAACTTGGGGGAAGATCTCAGGCATAAATATCATAGCTGTAGTTGTATTCACTTGATTTTTAATTTTATATTCATATTTATTTATTTATTTTTAAAGATATTCATGTTTGTTCGTTTAGTGTTCGTGAATATATTCGTTTAATGTTCGTTTATATATTAACGAACATATTTATTTAATGATAAAATCTAAACAAATATTATTTTATAATCATCTTATACTATTAAAAAATATAACCAAAACGTGTAATTTTAAGATGAGAATCAAACCTATCAATCAGAATCAATGAAACATCAGAAGCGAAGTCAGAAGAACAATTCTGTTAGGATGCTTACATTTCTTCTATTTTTTTATTGCTGAATTTCTTTTTGTTTTTTTCTCCATTTAGATTGAATCAAGTTGCACACCTGACTCTAACGGGTGAGTCTCTCGACGAGGATTTTCTGCATACACAAAGACTCGAACTTGAGACTTTGATTAAATGATATCAAGCTACTTACCACTTGAACCAATCTCTTTTAGCTCTTTCATTTTATTTACTGCAACTATCACCGGCGTATGGAGAAATATATATTATTATTTGTAGCCTATCAGACATGTAATTGATGCACTCTTAAACATTTTATACCATATTTTGTTTTATAGCGACAACGAGGATAAAGAAGGAAAAGGAAAAAGGATAAAATCATTTTTCCCTCTTATTAAAGTTTTAAAAAAACTTTGATAGAGAACTTATCAAGTAATATTAGTTCAAAAAAAGAATATTGTTCTTAATAGTTTCAAATGTGAAAAATTACATCTGTATGGCTTATATGTGTTCAATGACAAAAAAAAAAAAGATTTTGAAAAAATATCGAATGAAATTATGAAGGAACAACACCCAAGTATATGATATTATGGGAAGCCAGCTGGGCATGTAGAAATTATGTGGAAAGGCAAGACTGTTTCTCCACAATCCATACGATTTGTAGACTTTTTCAACATATGATAAGTTTACTTCTTGGAATATTGACAGACAATACTGCAATTATGTTTGAATCCTCCTTTATATCGACCTACCATGTGTACAAAGTAAAGATAAGGAAATAAAATCTCCACCAACCAAAAGCATCGAAAAAGAAAATTGAGTGGGGTCTACAAAGATCAAGTCAATGGTCTCCCCCATTGTACAAGTCAAGGCGTCTAATCCTCCTCCAATTTTACAAGTTTTGTTCAACGAAGACAAGCACGCAGTGAGTTTTAGATTAGATCAATACTGCCTGGCTTTCAAGACATCCTCTGCACTTTCAATGCAGTACATGGACACAAGGTAAATGAAAACAAAAACCCTCTTCTAAGCCTCATTTTCCCATTCAAGCCACTTGTTTTACAGACCCCAAGGATGATTGTTGCCCATCAGCTTCAAGTCCAAGCAGATTTCGATTTTTTCATTGGATCAGAAACGATGTCAACTACAACCGAATCGTGTTTCGACAACCCGGGTGGAGGAAACAGAGACAAAACTCTAGCAGATAAGAATATGAAGAAGCTGAGATCAATCAAGCTCTCAAGAATTCCATCAACAAGAAAGGCTAGATCATCTTCATCGAGCCAGTATCGAGCTAAGTTATCCGGATATGCAGCAGGCTCGGAACAATCTACTCCGATAGTGATGTCCGATACATCGCCGAATCGTAAAAATGCTGCAAACTCAGAGAATATCCAGGCAAGTACATGAAATGAAGTTTTCATACTATTAATTGTTTGTGAAAATTCAAATTGTTCAAGAGCCAAAATAGTGCTTCTTGTGGACAGGTATTACCGGAAACATTGACGACGGAATCTGGTTTTAAGCTTCATAGAAGTGTATCAAGAAAGTCCAGCATGAGATTCAGAAGGCCTCAGATGAAGAAATCTTTTGGAGGAACCGAGTTGAAGAAGAGAGTGAAGAAGTCATCTTGGAGAGAGGTAAATTCTCTAGATGATCAAAGTTCATCAACTCCTTACTTGAAGGAAACTAGTTCTTCTGATATGAAGGAGCAGTTACAGGTGAGTTCATGCTCCTCCGGATCTAGTTTCGATATCAGTGATCAAGATAAGAACATTTCTGAAAAGAGAAACCAGTTAGTTTATCCTTGTAATAGATCCGTTAGGGCTGTAAGAACATCTACCTTGGGACCTATGAAAGATCTTAACTAAAATGGCAAGTTTAAGATCTAAGAGGACGAAGATATGCTCTCAGAATTCTTCCATTTCAGATCCAAGTGTAGAGAGAGCTACATGTTCCTCAACACTCAAAGGTTCCAAATTTCCAGATCATCTAGAGATTAATCCAGGAGGAAATGAATCCAATGGAACTGCAGTTGCGAATGTCTGTCGGTACAGTTATTGTTCTCTTCATGGCCATAATCATGGTGAAAAACCCCCATTGAAGAGGTTCATGTCGATGAGGCGGCGAGCAGCAAAGAGTCAGAAAAACTTGAAACCAGACCGTCAATCCTCTGGTAAAGCAAAGCATTCTGGTAATGGAAAGAAAGCAGTACAGAAAGAGAAAAGACTATTTAATGAGGATCTTGGGGTTGCAGTTCAACAAGCTGTTGATATCAGAAATATTCCTTCAGTACAAGGAAAGGAAGGTAGTGATTTTGTAGATTCGAGTTCGATATCAGATCCAAATCCAAGTCATGTAGAACAGCAGACTCAGGGGTCATTTCAAGTATTCAAGGACACAGGTGTTGATTGCAGTGGAACTGGAGAAAAAAATGCAATTTGTGATACCCCTGGTACCAATATCAAGATTAAAGAAACTGAGAGAATCAACAATGGAGACCATAAGTCCATTCACACTCCAGGCTGCCCTGAAGATGGGGATGTCACTTCACAAGAGTATGGAGATCCAACACAGTTCGACAATCTGTCCTTGAAGGCAGATGAATCAATAATCATCTGCAATGCAACTGGGAGTAGTTGTAAGCTTCCGAGTAGTCTTTTCTTGTCTGCTCCTGTTACTGGGAAGATGGAAGAACCAGCTTCAGGCATTGAAGATAGGAATGAAGATTCTGAACTTGATACCGGAATTCTTCAAGCTGAGGATACTATGGCTGCTACTAGTAGTACTGATGTGGTGGAAAATCAGAAGAATTTCACATTTTGGAAATTAATATACCGGCATATGGCCACAGGTCTTGATGCTGAACTTGAAACGAAAGCACCACGATCTGGAATGAGTTCTGAAGAACAAGTAGAAGATCTGCATGACGGACGTGAAAAGAACAACTCTTGTTGGGAAATTTCAAGGGTGGATAAAGCCATGAACAATGAAGATCATGAAGCAAGCAACCGGAAGCTTGAGTTCAGCCAAAGCGATGCCATTAAGCTGGTACAGCAAGCATTTGACAAGATCCTCTCCGAAATTCCAGACCACTCGTCGGATGATCAATCAATTGTTAGTGAAAGAACCTCAGGCCAGGAGTTCTTGTATCAGAAGCAGGATGAAGACAAAGAAGTAAGCACCTCAACTTCGTCTAATTCCATTGAAGACTGTACTGTACATGATCGAGAAGAAATGAAGTTTCAATCTGGTAAAGAAATTGCATCTGAAGAAGTGAAAGTAGCCCAAAAAGAAGGAAAAAAGGCTGACAAGCAAATGCCAAGCAGCTGGAGCAATCTGAAAAAGATAATAATCCTCAAGAGATTTGTCAAGTCACTACAGAAGGTGAGGAACTTAAAGCCAAAACAATTCGTTATCTTCCTATGGCCAATGATCCGGAAGCAGAAAAGATTCAACTGAGGCATCAAACTGAGAAAGGGAGGAAAAATACGGAGGAATGGATGCTCGACCATGCACTTCGTCAGGTTATTTCAACATTGGCTCCATCTCAAAAAAGAAAAGTTGCTATGTTGGTACAAGCATTTGAAACTGTCATCCCAGCAAAAATTGGAGATGATTTGAGGTCCAATACATCGGTTTCTTCTACTACTGCTCAAGACTATAATGAGTCCTCAGTTGACAATGACGGTGGCAAAGAAAATGAAAACACTTCAGAAATCTCCCCAGGCAAGCCATTGAACTCTGAAATGGATTCCTCAGATGATTATGACCAAGTCGGTGAATCTAATGTAGGATACCTGCAATCTACCAATTCATCTCCAGATTCTAAAGAAACAGACATGAAGAAAGAAGATGATTGTGCCATTGATGACAATAATGGGAATGAAGTTTCCATAGTCAACCTCTCTTTGTCAGAATTTAAAGAACCTCGAATATCTGATAAGTCCTTAACCGATGAGGATGCAATGGGGACCTCTCATGACAAATTTTTCACTGTAAATGAAGACGTTCAAAGAATTGCAAAGGAAGAAATTTTGATTCAGAGCTCAGAAGTCTGCAACACAGATTCCGAATTCGGTATAAAGAAGATGGATATGGAGTCCAGTGACACTAGCAATTCACCTTACCAGTCACCTTGTAAACCTGAATGCCTAGAAGAAGTTGGTGAAGGATATCAGCCAAAACATAAATTCCTCCATTCACCACTTGAACAATCCGATTTGAATTTCGAAGCTAATATTTCTCTGTCTGAAAGACAAAAATACACGAGGCTTTGGTACTTGATATATAAGCACATGGTGTCAGGTAGTACCACAGAAAATGGATCGCAACCACTTGCAGGTGAGGAAGTCCAAGGAAACGATGCCAGCAAACATCCTAAAGAGAACAACGCTGATCGTCAAGGTCCTTCTGCAGCTGGTCAGAACATGATTGAAAATTACTCAACAGGACACAACAATGAGATTATAAAGCTTGTAGAAGAAGCCATAGATGAAATACCTCTTCCAGAAATTCAAGATGACACATCAGAGAATCAGTCAGTAGGTGAGGTAATTCCAGATCAAGAACTCCCAGAAAAGAATTATGGTCAAGAAGAGGTAAAAATCATCACCAGTTCTACTGGTTCTGCTAAAGAGAATTATGAAGAAACTAAAACCATAAGAACAGAGGTTAGTTCAACCTTGACTTCCAAAGAAAAAATACTGAACTCTCAAAATGTCAACACCAATATGGAAGCAAAAGGAGGAATAGAGGAGGGAAATAAATCCAAGAAGAGAGTGCAGAGAAATTGGAGCAATCTGAAAAAGCTAGTCCTACTTAGGAGATTTGTTAAGGCATTGGAAAAGGTCAAAGAATTTAACCCAAGGGGACCTCGATACCTGCCCGTAGATCCTACCCCAGAATCAGAGAAAGTTCTCCTAAGGCATCAAAATATGAGAGACAGGAAAAATGCTGAAGAATGGATGTTAGATTATGCACTACAACAAGTGGTTGCTAAACTAACTCCAGAAAGGAAGAGGCGAGTGGGCCTTCTTGTCGAAGCATTTGAGACGGTCATTCCGACTATAAGTTGAAGTCATGAAAAGCCCCAATAAAGCTTATCCGGAAAAGCTAATCAAACTGAAGCTACAAGGTAAGCACTCAGACCGCTGCATTTCTTCATCATTTGAGGAAAGATGATATTAACAATAGGGGAACCTGTAGAACAACAGGAAAAATAAGCTAAGCATTTTCTAATAGAATGAACTCATTAGAACAAAGTACACAAACGAGCCTACCATTTGTTCTCCTGATTTTTTAAACTAAAATGATATAATTATGAAATTTCATAATAAGCATATATACCATACTTACCTCACTTAGTAGAGCAGTCATGGGGAAATTTCATTGGTATGGGAAAAAGGGAACTTGTTAATATGTTTTATTCAAGTTAAAATTTCGACCTTTTATGATAATGGTGAAACTTCATTATCTTTTCCTACTTGCAGGTATGGAGAAAAGAAGTGGCCGTCTAATACGGTCAATCTGAATGGCACAGAAACATGAGTGCGGTCTGGCAAAACATCACAGTAGGAACACAATGGAAACTGAAATGGTTGTTGTTTTCAGATCCATATAGGAAATAGTAGTGTAGAGTCTGAAAAGTTGTAAGTTGCAAGATTTTTTTAAACCTCAAATCATATTTCGAGCATGCTTGGTGAAAGGAAAAAGGGAAGAATACCAGATGTGTTCTTGTTTAAGTATGGTGTTGCATATTACCTTATTCCTTTCGGAACAGTACAGCGGTTATTCTAATAAATGGTTATGGACATCAGAGATAACGTAGAAGAATCAATTGCTAAACATAGAACAAATGCCATGAGAATTGTTTGTTAGCGATGTTCCATAACTACAAACAAATTAAGATGAATTGACTTGGATAGACAACTTAAACTATAGGATAAATATCATAGAAGAATCAATTACTAAACATATTGGCCCAAAACATCACACCCTTGCACTATCTTCCAAAAACAATTCACAATGAATAACCTAAACATTACAAATCTAGCACCATATCCAAAGATGAATTGACTTGGATAGACAACTTAAACTATAGGATAAAATATCATAGAAGAATCAATTACTAAACATATTGGCCCAAAACATCACACCCTTGCACTGTCTTCCAAAAACAATTCACAATGAATAACCTAAACATTACAAATCTAGCACCATATCCAAAGAATTATATTAGAGACAAAAACTTGGCAAAATATTTAAAAGGAAATTTGAAGTTCAACAAGAACAGATAAGTTGTGGCTAATTCTAAAGCCATTTCCCTTTCATGAGAAGAAAACGTTAACCAAATTAATGATTCATCAACAATTACTTTCAAGTTTCAAAAGTTGTAGAATTTCAGGCTTTGTTTAAAATAGTAGTCATGTCATGTCAGCCTGAAAATATCCAAGCGGATGCTTGATCCAGTCCCTCACCAAATACATCTATGTGTGAGTTATGGTTAGATGTAAATATTAGTTTTCTACTTTAATAACACTAACTTTAGAATCTTAATTTGTAGATAATACAATCCCTAGTTCATCTTAAACTCTTTACAAATACTTGTATAAAAACCCCCTGTAAAACTCTGATTGTAACGTGAAAAAAATAATTTGTTTTTGAGAAGTTCAAATCTACATGGTATCAGTCGCTAACGTCGATCCAAGCTTTGCTCCCGCCGCCGTTCAACAAAAATCCGAACGACAGTGTGCTTTACTTGCACTGCTGCTCTCTCGACCATAAAAATACCATCACCCTGCCACCCGCTCCATCATGAAATACCCATCGCAAAATCGTCCTCCTTGTTGTGCCACTTCCATCACAACGTTGCTCTCCTCGCAGTGCCACTCACATCGCAACGCTGCTCTCCTCGCAGTGCCACTCTCGTTGCAATATTGCTCTCGTTGTGCCACCAGCCCCAGCGCTTCACAATCGGATTGCTACTTCATCGGATAAGTTTCCTCCATCGCAACAACACCATCGTGGGTAGTTTCATTGTTATATAAATATTATTATTATTAAAAAAAATCCACTGTTCTCTTTATTTTCAACCGACAATGGTTCATCCGAAATCATCCGAAGTTCCTCCGAAAGTAGGCACCTCTATCGCTCACCCTATCACCACCGATGCAGGTTCCTCTTCCATTACATGTCATTGCTTGAATGGCGATAATTATATTCCTTAGTCTCAATCAATTCGTCTATATATCACTGGTCACCATAAGCAGTAGTATCTCTCGGTAAATATGTCGATTCCAGACTTGTTCGATCCCCAATATGAAACATGGCTAACCGAAAACACAATGATCATGTCCTGGATCCTCAACTCCATGATGCCAAAAATTGGTGAAAATTTTATGCTATATACGTCTGCTGCCGAAATCTGGACCGCTACACATGAAACATATTCTAATCTCGATAATTCGACTGCCTTGTTTGGAATCGAATGTCATATTAGTGATTTCAAGCAAGGAGATATGAGTGTCACACAATACTTTTCAAAGGGTTGCTTGAGAAACTTCGGGTCTTTCAGTTCCTGTCTGGGCTAAAAACTACTCTCGATGACGTTCGTGGAAGAATTTTGGGCATTAAACCTCTTCTATCCCTTCGTGAAGTGTCTACCAAAGTCCACCGTAAAAAAAGTCTTCGTTCATTGATTCTTTTGTCTGTTGTCATTGACATTTCGGTGCTAGTTACTCACTCGAAAAGTGATGCTCGTTTAAAGAAAGTTCATCCTTGGTGCGATCACTGTAAGAAAGTATACCATGTTCGGGAAAAGTGCTTGAAACTTCACAGTCTTTCTACTGACTATAACCCTTCCAAATCATCCTCCCAGCGTGATTCTCACGGGAATACTGCAGTAATCAACACTAGTAGCAGTTCGTTTAACCATCATCAACTGGAAGAACTCAAGCAAATATTCTGTCAAATTTAGTCCTTTTCTGAGCCAAAACACACATGTGATGTGAGTGAAGGTAGATCCAAATTTGCTCCATTCTCTAAGGGTTGTGTTTCTTGGATTGTTGATTCAGGCGCAAGTGACCACATGACGGGTGATTTCACCCTCTTTCAGAATTTTACAAAGATAGATTCTTCCTGTAGTGTTCGAACGACCAGTGGTTCACTTTTTTCTATTAGGGGCAGTAGCTCAATACAGATTAACAACCATATCACTTTATCTAATGTTCTTTATGTCCCAAATTTGGCTTGCAATCTGGTTTTGGTCAGTAAATTATATGTGGATATGGGTTTTGCTTCCCGATTTAACTCTGATATTTGTGAATTTTAGAAATTGAGTTCGGGGATAATGATTGGCAATGCTAAGCGTCGTGGTGGTTTATACATACTTGAATCACCTTCTTTGGTTCACAAAACAGCACCCTCTACTATTGTGTCCTCATAGGTTTCCATATATCAATATCCAGTGATATGTCTGTGAAATTGTTTTTTGGCATTTTAGGTTAGGTCACCGAGTTTTAGTTATCTTGCAAAATTGTTTCCCAAATTGTTCTTTAATAAAAACCCTTCATTTTTTTCTTGTGATATATGTCATATTGATAAACACATTCGCAGTACGTATTCTCCTCCTACTTATGATTCTTCCAAACTATTTTTTATGGTATATAGTGATATTTGGGGTCTATCTCATGTCAAAGGCTTACATGGGGATCATTGGTTCATATCTTTCATCGATGATCACTCTTACACCACTTGGACTTTTCTTTCTTTTGGGGTGAGGCTCTCTTAACTGTAACATATCTTATTAATCGCATGCTCAGTAAAGTCGTTAAATTTCAAAGTCCCTAGGATGTGCGTTCTCAATTTTTTCCTCATTTTAAAGCACTCACTATTGTTATTCCTCTTCGTGTCTTTGGTTGTACAGTTTTTGTTCATGATCATTCCCCAAATAAGTCCAAACTTGATCCCCAAGCAGTTCGTTGTATCTTTGTTGGGTACTCCTCTCTACAAAAGGGTTATCGGTGTTACTCTGTATAGAACTATGTTTCGATATAACAAAATTAAGGCAAAATGTTTTTGGACTTGAATTTAATTTATTCAAAGTTTTCAAAAGATTTCAAAAATAATTCAAAGTCCATTAAATTCGGATTTGAGAAAAAATATTAAGAGGTATCGATACCCTTATGAATGGGTATTGATACCCCTATAAATGGGTACCGATACCCCTATGAAGGCTCAAACATCGAATGTAATTTTGGTACTCATACCATGCAAGGGTATTGATACCATAGTGAAAAGTAGTACCGATACCCCTTAGGCAATATCGATACTACAAGGATACAACGGCTAGAAATGGCTAGTTAAAATTGAATTTAAAAAAGGTAGTACCGATACCACTTAGAGGGGTATCGATACCCCCTGTTCTGGATAGCCAATTTTTGCAGAAAAATCATCACCAAACAGCTCCAAAACATCCTCAACGGCTAGATATGACTTCAAAATCATTTCAAGCTATAAAAATAAGATGAGGACACTTGAAGAAGAAATATAACAACTATCCAAGCAATTAAACACAAGAGAAGAGTTTTCCAATCTTAATTCATCTTTCTCTTATAAATATTTTTGTTCTTGTGAGCTCAATTCTTGTAAACACCTACCTTAGAAAGGTTTTCTTGTTTACATTTCCTTTCATTGTAAAGGGGTTTTGGTTCTAGCTAAGCTCATGAAAAGCTAGGGAAAGGTTCTAGTTTAGCATGTGAAAAACTAGGGAGTTTGTAAAGGTTATCTATTTGTCCTTTAAAAAGAAAGAACAAATTAGTGAATTTGTTGGAAAATCCTTGGTGAGGAGCTAAGGTAGTGAATGTAGACTTGGTTGAGAAGTTGAACCACTATAAATCGTTGTGCAATTTTCTATCTTTTAATCTCTGTTGAAAACATTTTGATATTTCGATATAACAAATTAAGTATAAATGAATTTTAAGATTTTACAAATGATTTTCTAAGTATATTTCATTTAATTACTCGAATATCAAAATATTACTCCAAGTATTTCAAAGATCAATTTCAATCCTTACTAAAGTGTAAAATTGTGTTTAAATCTTAAAATATTTTTGAAACAATTTTCACAAAGTATTTCAAACCAAAAACGAGCCTAAAATCAATTTTTCAAAAGAGTGTACCGATGCACCAATCCATGCATCGATGCACCATTGAATAAATTGAACATCGAATGCATTATATGCATCGATGCACATACCATGCATCAATGCACTCAGGTTTTTATGAAAACATTGAATGCATTTTATGCATCGATGCACAAGACATGCATCGATACACTCATGTTATTTTGAAACATCGAATGCACTTCATGCAACGATGTACTCTTAGTGCACCGATGCACTAAGGGTCCAACGGTTGAAATATTTGAATTTTACACATAGTGTACCGATGCACTAGCCTTATGTATCGAAGCACCAGACGCTCCCAACTGTTTTATTAATTGTTTTCACACTTAAACGGCTCTATTGACTCCACTAATCATCCCTAACATTCAGAATCAATTGAAGGAGTATTTAAACAAGCTTAAAAGCCATTGATCAATAACAAGAATCAAGAATTAAGAGAGAATCAAAGAGAAAGCATTAAACCTCAAGTTTGAGCATTTAAAGCCTATTTTTCATTCAATATTCATTTTGCTTTCAAGAATACTACTTGTACTCAATTGTATTCATTTTTAGTGTTCTTTTCTTTGTTCTAGAATTGTGCAAACAATCTACCTTGTGAGGATTTCCTTGTAAGTTTGTAAATTTGTAATCT